TGATCACTTGGGAAGGAACTCAGGGAGAATTCAAGCTTGTGGATCCGGATGAAGTTGCCAGGTACGTCCTAGTCATTTTTGTAACTAAAAAAAGAAGACAAAGCAAATTATGAGCATTTTAGGAAATGGGGTGAAAGGAAATCGAAACCGAACATGAACTACGACAAAATGTCGCGAGCACTACGCTACTATTACGATAAAAATATCATGTGTAAAGTACACGGGAAACGATACGCATACAAGTTTGATTTTCAAGGTAAGTTGGAGTTATTTTAAGAGTCAATTCTTTTATTTATGGGGCGATCTCAAATTTTCCCCCTCTATGAAAGCAGCTACGCTCTTTATGAAAGATCTGTTATTCCCTCAGTTGTTTTCATTCTACTGTCGCACAAGGATAGTTTCAAAAATGACAGATTCCTGTTTGGTAGCAAGTGGGTGAGGTACAAAAAAAGAAAGGGCCTGTGGAAAGATTCCAAGCACAAAAAGTTCATAGTTCATTGGTTTTGTAACTCATTCTTAATTTTGAAGTCAAGAAGGGCGTAAAAACAAGCAAACGGATGCGGATTTGAAGGGGAGCAATTGGAATGAGAGGCACGAAAAATGTGATAGTATAAGAAATTTTTTCAAGTGTCTGTTCAAAGTCCTGACTTTGAAATGATTTAAGGAATAGCTCAAGCGCTCCAACCTCAGTCTGGCGGTGCTAGCTCAGATTACCTTTCCCCTCAAACCGTAAATCGACTACAGCAGGACTTCATGCAGGGCGGTTGGTCGGCAAACTACAGGTCACTGATACCAACTGGGTTACAGGTAAATCACTCTCAAATTCGTAGCTGGACGATTTGGAAACACCAAACAAGTACATGATGTATAACTATCCCCTTTCAGACAAGTGGTGCCTTCTTTAATCCGTCAACCATGGGCTACGGTGGATTTGCAGCTGGCGGAAATAATGCAGCACTACAAAGAAATTTTCCCATTTACGGATCAAACATGACCAACTACTCAAAATGTTTGTGATTCTGTAAATCCTTAAAATCTCTCTGTAACATTTTCACTCAGCTCATTAATTCGAACTCTTATCATAATGTCCAGAAGAGACATTCTCACATGTTCTTTAGACATCCTCTAGGATATTTTTTATCGACTGCTGTATGATCACGATAAGTTTTACGCTAGTCAGTCCGCTTAGATCTCTCTTATGACGGGAATA